AACAGCAGGTGGCCAAACCAAAAAGAACTATCGGTTAAGAAGAAAGTGAAGGAAGCGAAGACTGACATGTGAAGAGTTGGCATGACTAAGAAGTCCGCACTGGAGATCTATCGAACTTTTAAGCAGGAAATTGCCAAGGAAAGGATCTATGATAATACTCGGGGTAGTTCTCTACTGTTTGAGGCCAGAACGTGAGTATTGCTAACCAAGACATATCGGGCTAAATACGAAGGGGTAGACACGGTATGCAGTGCATGTGGAGAGGAGGATAAAACTGCCGAACACTTGATAATGTTCTGTAAAGGGCTTCACCCTATAGTTCAGGATGATGGCGCAGAGTTTTTCAATGCACTGGGGTTTAGGGACAGGGAGGGCAAAATAGACTTTAAGTGGGTGGAATTAACTAGAAGGAAGTTATCTGATTGGTGGCTAAAGTCAAGGAAAGTGAAAATTAAAGCACTCGGGTTTATGGACAGGGAGGGCAAAATAGACTTCAAGCGGGTAAAATTAACTAGAAAAAGGTTATTTGATTGGTGGCTAAAGTCAAGGCACGAGTGAAAATTAAACCCGTCACTGCAAAGTACTAGTTTTCAACATCACTATTTAAAGGAAAAAAAAAATCTAGTTTTTGGTTCACTAAGCATTACGGCTAGGTGACGTTAGCCGCTGCCCGATCTAAAGGGTACAGCCATATTAATCCGTCCATCCATCCATCCTGCCTCAGTAAAGTGCGTATGGGACGTGGATCGTGTAAATGAAGTCTTCACACTTTTGCTCGGTGCTGTGCTGAGTAAGTACAAAGAAAAAAAAATCTCTTTGCGAGGGCAAACGTACATACATACGTTACAGGGTGCAGCGCTGACGAAATTGGCTTAGTGTGCAATGCACTGCACGCAACTAGCTAAAGTTGCGCTCAGATTGATGATTGATAGTAATGGGTTTTATGTATAGCCACGCCAGTTTTTGCGAATGGATCACCATACAAACGTACGCGTACATGCCGAAGCCTGACGAGTCATCCGTCACCTGTGCCGCTACTTCAGTCTGTATACTCTCTTCATAGTTTCAGAACATGTTTTCATTATAGCGGATGTGGTCATGCAAACGAGCTGAAGTGTTTTTCTGCTGAATGGCAACTATAAAAAAAGCCATGCACTTTTCGGTAATGTTATAATGGCATCATAAAACATGTTGATAATGGCAGCGCACGTAAGGTGACAGATGGATTAAATATTCAGTTCCGCTGCGTTCCCAACAGCGCCTTTGGAAATTGGTAGTATGCGCATTGTGCTCGCGTAGCAATGTCTCCTTCTATCAACCTTTCATTACACCGTTGCTGCTATCTTACTCTTTTGCCAACGTCCATTTACTGCCGTCAACAGCTAGTGCGTGCGCCGAAGGGGGTCGTAATGTGACAAAATAGTGCTCTCACCGCCTGTAGTTGTGGCTGCGTTAACAAGAAGGTGTATTTCAGGTGTCTTTCTATCACACATCAATATTCATTTTGAACATATTTTAACACAGCGCACGCCTGCACAGACACATCTCGCACACTTATCGCGCGTTATCGCTGCGCGCCAGGTACATCTCAGTCATGATCATGCAGCTATCAGTGCAACAGAGCACTGATAGCACAGATCACAAAATGGCGAGTCCCCGAGAAAGGCAACGGGAACAAGCCAGATAACCTGTATTACTATGTAGCTGAAAAATGCCCCAAGTAATCCTATTTTTCTTAAGGGCATGACCAGTGAGAACAGAGGAAAAATATTTTTTAAAAACTATAAAATCGGTGTCTTATTAGCCAAAACCGATATTTTAGGAACCTGGATGAATTGAGACCACCTAGGCTACTATAATGATCGATTAGACTTAAGTAAACGGGTGTTGACTCTTCAAACGGGTGTTGACACAATCAAACCGCCTCATGCTCACTAGTCACCATGCTTTTCTCTTATTTTTTTTGCTTAATATGTGGATTGAACTCAAGACATCACAGCTACAAGCTTATGCTTGCTGGCAAGTACAGATGGTTACATTTTTTAGTGTGCTATAACTAACTAGAATAACAAGTTTACTGCATGCAACCTAAATATGAGCAAAATATTGCTGGTGATAAAAAAAAACTGCACCTCTTCATTATTCAATATTTGATTTGTATTCGCAGCTATGTATTCGTATTCGATTCGTATTGGAAAATTTTTATATTTGCACACCCCTAGTGATAAACATTGCTCCATTAACAATGCCAAAGCTCAATAAAACAAATTATATTTTTTAAATGAAGCACATAAGCGAGCTTCAAGAACCAGCTACGTACACAGAAATGCACCTGGATAGGAGTTTGATTCACATAATCAGCAGTTCAGAGTGGTCGCATGGCGACTAGTCTTAAGCTAAGCTCTTTTATGCTTCTATACTTGTATCAATACACTCGAGAATCGGGCAAAGTCTGCTCAAGTGTGCTGCGAAAAGATAGGGCCAGTGTACTTTCTTCACTGCTAAATATTCAGTTGCCTTGTGTGTTGCTGGAGCCAATGTTGTGATAACATTGACAGTAGTTTATGGGACCACTGTTGATCACTGGCTTTGCTTTGCCGACAATCACGACAGTGGCACAGAAATGAGGAAGAATTTTGCATTAGTATCACGACTTTTCTCTCAATTCAATAAACCACTTTGTTGTGCAGCTTTTCCACAGTGCCCCTTGCAGCTCACATAATTCTGACTAGCGAATTATGGAAGGCTAAGTGGAGCTTATAGACTGCAAACGGTGTACGTGTTAGCTTCTTAGAGGGCCACAGCAGATCGCAAATAAAGTGTAAGAATTGATTTTTTTTTTCTTGAAGGCGAGCTGCCAGAGCAAAGTTTTTTTTGCAGCAAAAGAATTAAAACTGTCAATTTGCACATAATACAAGCTGATACCAACCCAGCAAGATCACTGATGCAAGCACACATGGCATAGGGTGCTTTGGCTCATTATAGTTCATGAACGAAGCGCATGACAACAAACAATATTTAAACTTTCTTTGGACTGAAATGAGTAGTATTCGATAAATAATTTTTTTCAGAATTGATACCTGAGCTCCTTTTATAATATATTTTTAAAATAAGCTTTTTTTAAAAAACTCTTTTAATCATCACAATGAGCCTGACTACGCCTACTGCAAGGCAAACGCCTCTTCTATGATCCTCCAATCAACCCGGTTTTGTGCTTTTAGTTGCCAGGTTATACCTGCTAACTTTTTAATATCATCGGCCCACCTAATTTTCTGTCTCCCCTTCGTGCATTTGCCTTCTCTAGGAATCCAGTCAGTTACCCTTAATTACCTGCGGTTATCCGGCCTACGTGCTACTTGCCCAGCCCATGTCCATTTATTCTTCTTGATTTCAACTATGATATCCTTAACTCCGGTTTGTTCCCTGACCCACTCTGCCCTCTTCTTGTCTCTTAAGGTTACACCTATTATTTTCCTTTTCGTCGCTCGCTGCGTCGTCCTCAATTTAAAGTGAACCCTCTTAGCAAGCCTCCAGGTTTCTGTGCCGTAGGTATGTACTGGCTAGAGGCAGCTGTTTATACCTCCCTCTGGAGGGTTATTTCAATCTCACGGTTCAGCTTCGCGGTTGTTACTTGTCCTAAGTAAACATATTCTTTTACAACTTCCAGCATCTCTCTACCTGTCGCAAATTGCTGTTTTCTGCAGGGACTCTTGCACATTACTTTAGTCTTGTGCATATTATTTTCAGACCTACTTTTCTGGTTTCCGTTTCCAGTTCAGTAATCATGAGCTGTAATTAGTCCCCCGAGAAAACTTTTCTTCAACTATCCTTTTTTTTTTTACAGTGCCTCTTTTAAAACGATCTTTCACACAAGTGTTGCAAAGGCATTGTTCTATAGCCCTTAATACTTGCGGGATTTTGATATATGAAATGCATGAAACTGCATTGAAGTTAGCACACATTTTTAATTCATGATGTGTTTGTCCTTGTTTCAAATTTTTTTTTAATTTCGTGGACAGCATTAGAAAACAATTGTTGTGATTCAGTGTTATACATGATAAAACTTGCAGAAAAATATTTTTGACACAGCATTTATAGCTCGCCTCAAGTTTCACTGTGAGATGGAAAAATACCACTAAGAACAGTTATAAGAGTTTCCCGCCACGACCTTCAAATGTTTTTTTGTTCTCACACTAGGAGCATTTCTTGGAGATCAGATTTTCATCTCTGAGTGCTTGTCAGATGGAAATGCTGTCGTGTGGCGAGCTGCACTCAGGTTCACTTGACTTTCATCGGAATATACAAGAAAGCCTGATGATCAAACAAGCTCTTGCATGACAAACAAAATGCAAAACAAAGTCTCATTTTTTGAAACACTGAAGTAAAGAAACCAAATGCAACTTCACTGCTATGAAACCTGAGGAAGTGCACAGCACGGTGAAGCAGCAAATACTGTTCGTAGAGTGCGTTGTTTAACCAAGTGCCAATTGATGGTACTAATGTTTGAGGTATATGCATGTAGGGTTCCCCCGTACAAGTATTATCAAGTTGGTGAGATTCACAATCCCACTGGGCAAAGTGTGCACGACTTTTTGATGCGCTACATCGACTTCTTGCTTGTTACAGCAGTGGAGACACACGTCATCGCCAGCAATTTCCCTCAGGTTGTTTTTCTTTTTTCTTCAAATGTGGCAACGAAGCACTGGCAAAGTGTGCGTGCGAGGAGTACCTGTGCTTTTGGCGAAGCAGTGGCATCATTTTTGTGGAAGTAAAGAGCTTGTTTTCAAAGCATTTTAATGAGTTTGAGTTAAATAATGTGATTACTTTTTGGCTAATTCAGGTAACTAAGTTATTCTATACCTTTTTCATTCTTTTTAACTCGAGTTTGAGCATCGCTAGCTTTGATGTATCCTGTATTGAACACTTTGAGCGCAAAATTCACGGGGGGACGACGAGCCAGTTCTCTGAAATGCTGTGCATTTAAAGGTCCATGGATGCAGGGGATGAGTCTGGTGTGCGCCTCTACCTGAATGAGGTGCTGTCCTTGGTCAACCAGGCTCTGGCCAGTGCTGTGTGGTCGTTGCGACGTCAAGGGGCAGCTGCCTCCTGCTCGGTGGCGCGCACTCTTGGAGCTGCACTCGAGTGGCGCCTGGCTGAAACCCTTATCCAGTCGCTGCTAGCTGCACTGCCAGGACGCACCTGGCAGGGCAAGGTGATATCTCTTAGCTACAATCTCAGAATCATGCGAAAATGCTTTTGTGAGATGAGTGCAACACTGATTCAAGTTCTAAGGCAGAAGTGATGCAATAATCATTAGTGTGTGATGACATAATTATATGACGCCATCATGGCATCACAGTTTCCCAAAATTTGGGATTTCACATGATCACATAATCACACAACAAAACTGCGCTGGCTGCACAAAGCCTTTAAACGGGGGCGTAGGATAACCAATACATTGACTGACCAAAAGATGGTGGCTTTTGCCATTCGATCACCTTAGGGGAATAAACCCTGAGAGTTTTTTAAAGGGACACTAAAGCATATCTGTCTATTCTTCTAAATTATTCAGGAGACTCCCAAGTTTGAACCTAACTGCTCAATTGTCTAAATGCTATTTCGAATCTCCCAAAAAGTGGCTGGTGCAGCAGACGCGCTTTTTTTTTTAATCACGTATGTATGTCAGCCTTAAATGCTTAAAAAACTCGGGAAAAAGAAGGACAGAAGAGACAGAGTGCTGACTAACAACTGAAATTTTATTGCAGATTGTTGAGGCTTTCTTCATTCGTGAAGCAGGTGACAAGTGCGTGAGCAGGCCTTCCATTTCCTTGTCTGACGCTGAAATTAGTTATCTTAGAGGCTTTCTTTGATTTTCCGTGTCATTTGCTTTATCATGACCTGATGCATTTCACTCATCACGCTTGCGCGAGTCCCTTTGAAGATTTTATCGTTTGCAGTTTTTATCGCAGGTCAAAACCAGCCTTCTTTTCTTGCTTTTACACCTCCTATCAATCACACTTTAGGCACATATATATGCACAGGTGATGGTAATAAAATTTCAGTTGTTAGTCAGCACTCTGTCTCTTCTGTCCTTCTTTTTCCGTATTTTTGTGCTGTCTTTTTTATGTTAGCACTATAAACCAACTAGCCCAAACCAAAGTACTTCTCGAGCCTTAAATTGCTGCAACAGTTGTCATGCTGTGGAAGATTACTCGCCATAACACTTCAGGTTCATTGGAATCATACCGTAAAGTACCATTAAGTATGTACCACACACCTGGCCGACGGCTGGCGGCCGCGACACATGCTCGCAGCCGTACCAAAAGAAAGCGAGAGAAAAGGACAACATTTACGTCTGTCTTAGCTCCCACATTTTGAATGCTATAAGCCTCTGCAACTTGGATAGGCGTCAGTTGTGTTTGTTGCATGGTTGTGGGGGTTGTGTATTTCCCCTAGTTTGGTTGGAAGGTTGATGTTAGTGTCAAAAGCAAAGAAGCACTTGCAAGTGTTTGTGGACTCATGCTCTGAGTTTTGGTGCTTTGCGACTTTGTGAAAAGGTGACAAATATGGATTTTGTACCATGTGTGTCTGTGATGTACCGCGGCGTTTCCCACAGAGGTAAAGCTGGCTTAAAGATGCGCATCGCTTCATGGAAGCATCAGAACTACGTTCGTGCTGCGGAGGGACAGCACAACATCATTAGTTTCTTCAAGAAAAGCTTCGAAGACAGTGAGAATTTCGTGCAGAATGCCTATTCATGACATTTTCTGTGGAAGGCTACTCCGCGTTAGCGATCACGCAGAACCGTTGTTTCGGCAAATGTTTCCGAAGTGCAACGACGTGAAGCGGTACGAGTGCGGAGGCACGAAAACACATGCCATCGTTGGGGAAATGGCTGCAGATGCCGAAAACACAATGTTGGAGGCCCTAAAACGCCATGCTTTTGCAATTGCAGAATACGGAACAGAAGCAACAAAAGCGGGTCGCAAATGTCTCAGTTTCATCAATTTCCGAAATGCAAAATATTCCCCCGCCCCCTCTCACTGCGGTCTCTCGAATTTCCGTGCCGCTAGGTTGGCAGGTAGAAAAAAACATTTTTTTTATAATAGCACATTACATATTTCAGCTTTTTTTTTAGCATTCACAGAAGACAAGGACAAGAAAGATAGAGAGTGCTCGTGTGTCTCTCTTAATCTTGTCCTTGTATTCTGTTCATGCTTGAAAAAAAGTTAGGATATGGATACTTATGTACCAACTTGCCAAGCCATCAGTTTTACTGTAGTACATTGCAATTTCTGAGTATAGAAAACTGCTAGAAGACACTTGTTATACTTCTGCATCCCAGCGTCTGCATATGGGGACAAAACATATCAGTATGCACTATTTCACCTACAACAAATGGGGGCTGCCATCTTGTGCTGGTGAGCCAAGATTTTTTTGTTTTTTTTTTATATTGCGACATAAATTCATGTAATAAGATTATACAACATTACATGCACCAACCCAGCCATTTTCATATGTATGCGTATACCATAACATTGTTTGTTTAGTCGTTAAGGATGCAAAACACAGGTTAACAGCCCAATCTGGCAGTACTGATACCCATTCATAAAATATTTTATAATGGCATCAGGCTGACCACCACAATGCTTTAAAAATTGAAACTACTTCAGCATTTCATAAAAACATATGTATGTGCCTACTTGTGTGCAGAAACAGCGACATCAATGTACACAGAACAATGGCGTTCTTCTCAAGTCGACTGTGGTGGTGCACGCCTTCTCTCTTTTTTTTATAACTTTCCTCTTGATTTGCATGAGTATGAATATTATTCAGCTTTTTCAAGAAAATGAAGGGCTTATCTTGCTCTTGTGTGAGTTTTTTTGTACTGAGAACAACCAAAAATTTGAGAGCCGAGTTGTTGCTGCGGCGTCCCCGTTAGTGGATATCATGCATACTGGGTTCGTTGAAGAAGCTTATAGAATGCTGAATGGTTGTAGGATACATAATCGGTCATATAGTTGAGTACACTTTTTTAGAAGTGTTTGAGAATCTATTGGTTTATTGACGACATGCTATACTTTTTTCTAACAGAAGAAAATGTTCTGATTTGGAAAGCATAGATGAAAAATGGGTAGAAGCCATCAGCAATCGGCAAACGAAATTCTCTTGAGCAATGCTGCTGCTGTTAATGAAAGCAATGGGTTTGAATGTAACCATGAATGTATTAGTGATGATGATAAACTACAATAAAGATGATGATGAACATGTTGAAGTAGAGCTATGGCAAGCAAATGAGCCTGGATTGGGGATAATGATGGTGATGATGAGTGTGTTAAACATAAAGATTAAGGCATTGGTGATAGCTGTAATGAACGATGACGACAGTGTTGAATTGAAGCCATTTATGATGATGATAATAATAATGACAAAGGCATTGAATATGGCAAGTTTTTGATGATGATAATGATTATTGCGTTAAAACAGAGTTGTTCGCATAGCAGTGTACCCATGTTTAGTGAAAAAATGGGGGCTAGAGTAACTGGTGTTTTCAGTGTCCACATATTGTACACTTGTTTTTTTCTAGAACAAGAGCTGTGTTTTACGGTCATATATTCATTCTCATTTTCGTAGATAATATTATACGTATTTCTTGTAACTCTTTTTTTTCTGTTTGTACATATTACGTACCCACAAAAAATTATTTACTTGCGCAGCCGAACTTGCTGTCATATTCAAGAGGCTCAGCTAAAAAAATGTGGGAAAATGCTGGTTGCAACACCACCTTGGCATTCCCACACCAAATCCCAAGCCGTCATAAATATTAAGGGCATCCACTAGGTCATATGAACTTCTTTATCTATAAAAGTTTAGCACATTGTCCTCTATGGGGGTCATAGACTTAAAATTAAAAATATTAAGTTTTAGTAAACTTCATTGAGCCTTTGTTACCGAAATACGAAAATAAACACACAAAAAATGCACTTTGAAATCCGTGACGTCAGGCTAGTTGTTGCCCTAGGAGAAGCGACCGCCCACTTCGATCTGAACTTGCTCTTGCTACACGCCAACTGTGCTAAAAGCAACAAATAACTAGTGAAATCAGCCATTGATTTGTTTTATCTTACTCTAAAGATGAAGCATCAGATACCTTTTGGCATTACTAGCAAGATATGCTGTTGGCTTAACTGCATCTGCTAAGCCTAATACAGCGAGGCAGTGCTCGGGCTGCGTTTACAGACCAAAAACAGTGTATCGCTAAGTATCGGACTTGCGACTTTGCCAAGCGTTTCGCTCATGTTGGATTCTTCTTCGTTGAAAACAAAAAAAGAGAGGAATGGAGCATTGCAGCGGAAGACTCGAAAGAATGTGTCGACAGTAGGCTTGTGTGAATGTTCGGCTGCTTCAAATATCTGAACGAATAGTAGAGTATTCAAACTCATTTTAATTTGAATTTAAATTATCAAATATTTCGACATGAGCGAATAGATGTATATTAAACCGCATGTAACTGTTTGTACAGGTGGTTTCACTGCAGTATAGTGGTGCTAAACCGTGAAAGCACTTCTTCAGGGTTAGTTTGCCTTGCTGCAAAGCCTTATTTCAAATTTAAAGGGGCCCTGCTACATGTCTTCAGCATGGTTAGTCAACGCTGCCGATCGGTAGTCGGGGCTACTGAGAATAAGCGAGCTATATAATGTAGCGCAGTAGATGACCTGGAATTCACAGTAAATTCTCAAAGTGAGGTAAAAATTGCTCTTTTCTCTTGGCAAATGACGCCACAATGGCAAAAATCGCTCGTCACAGCCATTGTACCAGCCATTCGCTGATTTGAGCATTGGGTGCTTGGTCGTTACTGGGCCTGCTGCGGGCGGTTACGACATGACCACATGTAGATGTGCGATCGCACTAGAAAGCTATGTGTTCAAGGAAAAAAAAAAAGGGAGAGAAAGAATGTCAAGGTTACAACACACGCGTGACGTATTTTCTTTCCCTATACATGACATCTCTCCCAGCTTTGCTTGAAGCGCTTTCGTCTTTACGAGAAGATAGTGCTATAGCAGCATGTGGCAAATCCTTGCGACTCCGCTCATACTGGACAGATTCTAAAAATTTTTGCGACAGTTAATTCATAAGGCAATAAGCTTCTTGCATAGAGGCGTTGTTTGAATAAAAATATACTTTGCAGGTTAGTTAGGTCATGATAAATATGTCTATTTTTCTTTATACATCATATGTTCTATTCGAATTCAATTCAAATTATTTCACCAATATCACTATTCGATTTGAATCTAAAATTCACTATTCACACAAGCTTAGTCGGTGAAAATTGTGTTAGAAAGAAACTGTGACAATCAGTGTTCCCCATGTAATAAGTTGAGCACTTTGATTTGAGTGCATTTTTTTCCAAGGTCACCAGTTTCACCAGTTCTTATCATTTATCACCCAGTCACTGGTCTCACATGTGTGTAAATATATAGGTGTATAAGAAATGTCATTGAGTGAGACTGCGCAATGTCACATCTCTAAGTTATCAAATTTTTCGAAAGAGCCGAAGTTGGTGGCTTGGTGTAATTGCTTGTTCCAGATTTTTTACTGTATTTGGAAGTTGATAAACCAGTCATATTAACTGCAATGAGCGTGCAGACAAATTCAGTGAGTGACAGTGAGCAGATGAATACATGTGCAGGAGCTAATCGCTCTTGCTATTGGCTGAGGGGCCTTGCAGCCCCTACAGTGCTGAAAGAAACGTCTGAAACAAAATATAAACAATGATTTCAGTGTCTGTAGAAGAATTTATTGACGCTAAGTATGAAGCCAGTGATCAAGAGTTTCCACCAGAAAATTTTTAGATGGTATTGTTTTCTCGTGAAATGTTGCACCTTTTTCTTTCTGCGAGAGATAAGTACCATTTGCCAGCAGGAAGCACGTGCAATCGATGATCTCAGAGTCTGCTACCCACCAAATATCGTTGGCTCGACGCAGTAGCAAAGTCTTCGTCGAAGTGCTTGTTGCACACAGCTCATAGCTAATGACTGGTCGCTGGTTCTTCGGTTCACATCCCACACTTCATGCAGTTTTGGGGCCCCATCGGTACTGGTTCAGACTGAGAAGTCCGGCGCTCTGGCACAGATCACACCATGTTCGTTGCATTCAGAGGGAGCCTGTGGTCTTATTGGGTTGAGTTCAACAGTGTTCCATATACAAGAAAACCTCTGCACTTAAATAGTGCAACTGCAACTGCAACAACGGTTGAACGTGAAACTCTTTTTCGAAGCATGCAGCAACACTTCTCAAGCAGCCGATGCTGAAACCATGTGATCCTCCAAGTATGTCACATCGATGGTGATGTTTCCAGCTGTGGGCCTAGCTTCGAATAGCACCCCTCCACTTCAGTGGAACCACCTTTACCTGGGTCACATGTGATTTATATGCATTTACACCTTCATTCCATGAGCTTCGAAATTTCGAGTAATTTAAATATGTTAGAGTGAATTCAGATACTGCAACATTCATTGGAATATTCGAAATGCTCGAATATCTGCACATGCCCAATTAAGACACAATCAAGCTCTCACCTTTGTTACCATCATGTGTGCTTAGCGGCTTGGAAGGCGTTTTGGAGATAGTTGTCAGTGCTGTTCTTTCGGACATAAACGGCAGATTTGTTTGATGCATGTTTCCCTTGGTTTAGCTTGTGAGTGGGATCTCTTCTATGCCTAATCTTCTTGGTGTCTAAGGCAAGCTTCCAGCAGCAACATGCCTAATTGCAACCCATGCACTAAGGGCTAACAGGTGCTAGATGCCTTATCAGTTGTGGCCACAAGCTATCAATGTTGTGGCTTGATGCAGAGTCAACAAAACATTTTTCATGTTCCATTTAAAAGAGACAACTTAAATTTTCACCGAGAACGGGTGTGCGCGTATGCAACACTGGTGGTTCGTGGTCATCTCTTTTTCAACATTGAATATGCACCCAGAAAATCGAAACCGTATAGTTTCTGAAAAACGTATAGTTTCTGTGCAGTGTAGTGTTGTAGCAAAGCCCACATTAACTAGAAGATTTGAATGGTTGGTCGGTGGCTTACGGCTGTGGCTCTTTTTATTGCGATAGCAATTATATGGACACTCTCGGCTAGATTTTTCTGCTGGCGTCGACGTGGGCATCAATGTCATGCACCATATATGTATACGTATCTATATATATGAAAACGCAAGAAAGAAAAAAATTCATAAAATAGACTCCGGTGCGCAGAATTGATCGTGAGACCTCGGTGTTTGTGAGTGCGAGGCATTAACCACTGAGCCACCGAAAGGTACCTTCTGCTATGTTCAAACGGCAAGCTATATATATCTACCACTTAACTCTAATGGCAGGCATCTCAGGGAGGTACTATTCAGCGTTATCAGCAAGATGGCCCAGTGAGCGCACGGCAGCTCTCATCTCTCTCGCGTACTTAGGCCCGTGTAAAAAATAAGGAGGTGCACACTCGAGTGCGCGCCCTTATCTTGCAGAGGGGAGACTCGACTAGCCTTTGGATTTCGTGGGAACGATTCTGTTGTAGTTGCCGGGCGCAAAAAGGTCACTGAAATCGTTGCACCGCTTCAATTTGCGAAAAGGGCGCGCTTTTCAGAAACAGAAAAGTAACAACTGAGACGCTTATTCGCATTCATCTGTAACTGTGACTACGTTAGTGGGTCATTTGTGCCTGTGAAACACGAGGAACGTTTTGATCTGCTTGCCAATCTGCGCGTGACATTCCAATTTGTTGCTATTGCGCTCATCGCTTCGCCTTTGCGACTAAACTGTGACTTTTTTTTTTCTCGAGTTTGTTATGGTAGGACCACAGGTCTGAAGACGTTATTTGCAAATTTTAGCAGTTTCACACTTACAGCCCAGATGTGTGCCTGGATTGTAGGACTGACGCGACTGCTTGTTGTTCTTGTTTTACACTTGTGCTGTGAAGCAGCATTGGCATGGGCAGCAGAGTAGAAGGATGCCCTGTGTGCGTGTCCTTCTCCTCGTCTGGTCTGTTGTCCTCTCTCGTGCTATTTTACTTCGAATGCGAACCAACTAGCCTGAAAGTTCATCTTGACACTTGTGCACCTTGAAAAATGTTGTTTTGGTTACACTCTTAAACCTCGATGTAAAAAACCATGTATAACTTGATACCGGTTATAACGAAGTAAATAAACTCTTGTATTGCATGATATATTGTGTTAGGAATATACCTTTATAATGAATATCGGGCCCCGTCGCAGTTGTCTAGTGGCTAAGGTACTCGGCTACTGACCCGCAGGTCGCGGGTTCGAATACCAGCTACGGCGGCTGCATTTCCGATGGAGGCGGAAATGTTGTAGGCCCGTGTGCTCAGATTTGGGTGCACGTTAAATAACCCCAGGTGGTCGAAATTTCCGTAGCCCTCCACTACGGCGTCTCTCATAATCATATAGTGGTTTTGGGACGTTAAACCCCACATATCAATCAATCAAATCAATCAAATAATGAATGTCGGATACAACAAACTTATTTTAGAGTAAGATGCAACTTTGTTATAATGGGGTTTGAGTGTAGTGTTGAACCGTGTATAGCGCAGGTATTCGTGACTCAGGTGACATACTATATGAGTGGTCTATATGGTACTTTCAGTTTCACAATATGTTCGACCATTTACCCCAAGCCATGGCTATATACACTATGCCAACAGTACTACATTTTCACTCATATACGTACAATGATGCATCCAATGACAACTTCACAGAGGTATCACCTAAAGTAATTGTTTTCTATTGGCCGTGCTGGGTCTAACTTTATTGAAACATGATACTGCAGGTGCTCTAAAAATTTTGTTGTTGCTTAGGCATGATTAAATCATGAGGCAACATTGCAATTTTTTTTAAGTGTAGGCATGTAATCAACCGCTGTAGCCCTAAATATTATTATTGTTTATCTTGTTTCCTGGTTGTCACGTCTTTTTCTTATGGTTCCTTCAAAAACATGTAATATTATCTGCTGTGTGTATATTTTCTTCATCTCTCAGGAGGCCCTCCTGAAAGCCTTGTCCATTGTATGCAGTAATTGCATGTAAGTACATGAGCATCCTTCACATTTGGTGTGGCCATCAGAATCACATTTGCATTTTGCAGGAAAGCAAAAAAATTATGAAGGCACAAAGGTGTGAACAGTTGAACATAGCCATGCAATTGTCCTTTCTTTTCTAATGATTTGCAAAATACAGTCTCTCCATTTAGTCTGTTGCAAAATACAGTCCCTCCATTTAGTCTGTAGCATGGTGAGTGAAGTGTAAATCAACGCATTCTAGGGCAGGTTTCCGTTTAATCTGGCTGAAATGAGAAGCACAGGAGTAGATAGTCCGATCGTTAAAAAAACCAGAAAGGTGGGATGCCTTGTTTGTTCCATAGTTTCGCATTCACCAACCGCTCGTGCCATTTCAGCGCAGCAATGGGTCAGCGCATCTGCCTTCACTGCTGCTAGCGGATGTTTTCCAGAAGTTGGTTGAAAAAGAAGACCAGGTTTCACCTGCTAGAGTTCCGAACAGTCAACAGTCACTGTTCCCTAGTAGCATGAAATACTGGGAGGACGCTTGAGCTTTGCCTTCAAGAGTAGATAGCCTTGTGTGCATAGCCTTCTCAATCGCGAGCATAGATAGAAAAGGAACATCTGTGCACTTGCATAATGGCCCTGTCAAACTATTCGAGAATGCCCACTGCTAGTGCTGTTGCGAGTTATCAAGGTGCCCACTATGCGCCTGTAGAAGGACAACCTGTGCAGCTGCACACACTGTTGTTTATGTCAGTGTGCTTTGCAAGTGGTATGCAGCTCTAAACTACACTTCTGTCATGCTAAGGACACTCCTCGCACTACGTGACGATGTTCATGGAGTGTTCTTAAGCACAGCCGTGGTTCTGTGACACAAAAGTCTTGGGTTTCCTTTCTACTATAGGTGAAATTTTTTGTGTTTGATTTTTTTATTTGCATCTGTCTCGAATTTTGGCCACGGAACACCGCTGATTTTTTGCTCACAGCCAACAACGGTGATGTCAACACCAGAATTTCTGAAAAGTGAGTTCTTTGCTATTATCACGTTAATAATAGTCTAAAACTGCACTCAATACAGAAATTTGAGATCGAATGGCATTCACATAGCCAACCATCTTCAAATTAGGCATTTATAGGTACTTAGTCGTTTATTTTATTTATTTATTTAATTATGCTGCCAATTCCTCACGGGATTCTCGCAGGAAGGGCATAGACAAAGTACATGTCAGAGATTTTCAGGAAATGTGGGGTTACACAGTCGGTGGAGTGTAGTACACATTATATATTCTTCATTGAATAAGTATGAACTAGGAACGCATACATTTTACAAAAGCTACATACCATACAGGTTTTGATATTACAGGTTACAGAAAAAAAACTCTTCATTACAAATCTTCTCAAAACTTCATGATTTAGTGATAAGATGAAACACAAATGAGTTGATACACACATTCACTCGGTGATAACAAGTTATGGTCACATCATGTCAATTTTCTTCTCTACCAGCCTTCAGAACTCTGTTAAACTCGTGGTACCAGTTGTTGAGTTGCCTAGAGAATTCCAATCCCTTATTGCTAATGGAAAAAAAGCATACTTGAAAGAATCTACGTTGAACCAGTATTCTGTAAGCCCTTGGGGATGTTTTAGTCTGGTTAGCTTTGTTCGATCAACGGATATATAGTCTGGCACAAACACAAAAGATAGGATTTTAGAGCCACTATAAAAACACTGTAAAGGCCCTTGCTGGCCTCTAATTCATGCTCATATATCAAAGTGGAGTGACGGGAACACAAGGAACAAAATAGGCATTCGTCTAAAATGTGGTATCTAATCATGACTCAATCAGAGCAATCATAAAAAGAGTAGGCTTTTATTTTTGCCATATATAAAACTTCTACTTTTTTGTTTCCCAAATTTTCTGAAATACAGTCGAGCCCGCTCATAACGAACCTGAGCAGCGTGACGGGGCATCTGTTCGCTGTATCCCGAAGTTCGTAGTAAATGAAACACAGCTTTTCAAAAACGTTGCAAGTCAAAATACAAACTTTTTTTGCCCCAAAAAGTGTGTGATGAACGTGTTTTGAAGAGCAGTAGCGATAAGGGTAGTCTCGAGTTCACTTAAAACGGCAGTGTGCTCGTTCACCGAGGTTCGTGGCATAAGCTGCATGAAGCACTGGCTCCAAAGTTTCGTCGTTCTTGCAATCCGATTCCTCCAAATCGCTCTCGCCACGTACTTCATTCACGATGCCCCAATTCGTGCACGATTCTGCAGTGTCGGCATTATCATTGGCCGTAATTAAACCATCGCAACAGATGTCCCACCCGCTCTCCCAGGTCGGAGTCAACGACGCGCTGCCACAAATCGCTGCCGCAGTTCGGAAACTTCAGGCTCAGCATCGGGCCCGACGTCGAGAAAGTCGGCCTCGCGAAAACAGTTTCGCGCACATGTAGCCGTCACTGCCGCCCACGAAATATTCATCATCTCCACGCTCAGCTGAATACCGGGACGCCCGAAGCGGCAAGTTGGCTGCCAGGAGGTCAATAGCTATGAGCAAGCGCTCCGCAACGCGGCACCTAACGCGCGGATTACGCTCAAGCCAAGCGGTCACACTTTCGATGTGTTGTTGAGCAGCAGGAAAAAGCGTGCCAGTCCTCCCGTTGGCCATCATGACCACACACGCACACCAAGAGCGAGCAAAACGCGCACACGCGACAAACATGCCAGAACGCGTGGAACAGCTCTGCATCCGTTTCCAGTCAGAAAACGAAACTTATTCGAGCGAGCGTGGCAGGCATCGCGGAGCGATGAAGACGGGCGAAGGAGTTGTGATCAAAAGAGAAGAGGAAAGCAGACTTGCGAGAGAAGGGCAAGAACTTGCAATAAAGAGAGGGGAGGATGCGGCGGAAGGGCGACCTTGAAAACCAAAACACACGGAAGGAGCCAGGTTGGGTAGCTTGCTTGAAAGGTCTGCGAAACTTGCACGTAGAAAACTTGGAAAGAGTGCCTGCGCGCGCAGAAGTCAAAACATGGCTGCCTGGATTGGTGCGCGTGGTGGTGTTCCAAGAATCGGCGGCTGTGATGAAAAAATCGTTTTGTTGCACTGGCGAGTTCGCGTGGCCTTACGAACTTCTATATTTCACTGTTTGTTCCGCGCTAACTAACAGCCGTTTTTGCACTTTGCACGTGCGCGGAAGGCATGCTTAGTTGAGTGTGAAGTGAGCGAGAACAAGTCCTAAACACAAAATGAATCGCAAATTATCAGAGTCGGTGGGGTAGCGTACGTGCGTGCACTAGACGCAGGCTATCGGATGGAGTTGGTGGCCGACGATGTTAGCAAATGGTCTGGTCACTCCAGGCTGGCGACGCCAACGTCAGTACCAGCGATCAAAAACAGGGTAGACGGCCATCCGGTCTTTGAAAGATTCATGGCAGTGTAAAAACACGCCCCGCCAGCGGTGGTCTAGTGGCTAAGGTACTCGGCTGCTGACCCGCAGGTCGCGGGTTCAAATCCCGGCTGCGGCGGCTGCATTTCTGATGTAGGCGGAAATGTCGAGGCCCGTGTGCTCAGATTTGGGTGCACGTTAAAGAACCCCAAGTGGTCAAAATTTCCGGAGCCCTCCACTACGGCGTCTCTCATAATCATATGGTGGTTTTGGGACGTTAAACCCCACAAATCAATCAATCAGTGTAAAAACACGGGCCTCGTCTGGTAATGCGGGGTGCTCAAAGTAGCAGGGGGACAAAGGACGGAGGAGTGCGTAAAAAAAAAGCAGTCGTGACATGGAGGAAGGGAACAACTTTCTTTCCTCTATGGGTTGGGGAGAGCGGCAACTAGAGGGTCGTAGAGGCGGGGTCGGCATTTAACAATAAGAATGTTTCGGCACCTCGCCAATGCCTGATCGAGGGTCGAAATTGGTTTCCCGGGAAGTCGGCAGATGGCTGACTCCATTCACTGTAACCGATCAGCGGGGCTTGGAGACGTTCGTTGTGTGATTTTGTGCCATTGAACAAATGTATATTTTCACGGTCACGCAGATATTGTTCATTTTAAGCGAAAGTTCGTTTTAAGTGGGGCCATTATATGTGGGTTCGACTCTACTTATACTGCGGAAAAACTTTTTTTTTTCCTTTGTTTGTTATGTATGAAGCCTGAGGCAGACTTGTGTCACATACTGCTGTATTTACTCGCATAATAGACGCACTTTCTTTCCCGTCACGTTCGGGGTGCACCTATTGCCCGGGGTAAAATTTTTGAAAACTTTGTTTTAAACTACAACATAGACCACTGATAAGATGAGTCGCCAAAGTCGCGATATTCACACTACTGTCAAAATAACCTTCTTCATAGGCTACACTTGCGTAAAACATGTTGAGCAAGCAGTCTTGAGTGTACGAGAATCGAGGCATGCGATGCAGTGTGCTCATAAGCATTGGAATTTCCAGAAATTGCCATCCAAAGATCCACGTTTCCAACAAAACGAACATGAAAAAAGAAGTACGAAAGGAAGTGCTATCGCAGAAGTTCACCAGTTGAGCTTCAAGCCAGCCCTGAAATTTCGTGTGCTGAACGGTACCGATCATTTGATTTCACGGGCTCGCACCCCATATCCAAAGACATTGCATTCGAATCACAAACCACTATTCGAGTGTTACAAGCCCTACCCATGCCCCACTTTCTTCAAGTAGAGCCACCACAAAGATTCCGTACAAAAACCCCAACTTAAAACAACACGAAAATTAGGCATCAAAAAGATCGTACTCCTGCACTGATACACAAGTAGCGTGCATGATACAATGTTTAGGTTTGCGGCTGGGAAATCAACGGCGACAAAAGTCCGCCGAGCTTGTGCAAGTCTGTGCAGTGGCAGCAAAGGCAAAAGCTTGTATGGGGAAGCTGAAAATAGCTTTTAAATTTGCCTACAAGGTAGCAAACCCGATAACAATGACACTTTTCCTGGCAGGAAACTGAAAGCTTACTTAATGAGGCCATGATCGCACGTTCCATGTGGAATGTGTGCGGCTA